AATTCAAAGACACAAATATACCCCTCAAATTCTCCTGCTCTGATTCTGTGGGATGGATTCCCATCCCTCACCGATCCCTCCAGGCCAGAGGCAGGGCTGGCAGGGACGACAGAGACCCAAAGAAATGTCACAGCTCTCACGGGTTATTATCTCCTCTCCCTTGACATGTAACCCTAGACTCGTTATCTTGACATTAATCTGATAGGATCAGCTTTCCTAGATCTTAATAGCTGAGGAATGGGGAATGTTTAAAGAGGAAAGTAATGTAGGCAGTTGTGTGTGTGTGTGTGTATCTGTGGGCAAATAAGATTAAAGGCTTGTGGATTTAGGCAACTAAATCTGAATGAAAGTGTTGGACCTTCATGTCCCCTTTTCTAGCCTTAATAAATTGCAGTCAAGGCCAGTACCAAACGAAGGTGTGACGGTTTTCAAAGCTCCGCATTGTAAGAAAATGAGTTCACTTCCTCCTTGCGGCACGCAGGACAGATGGCTTTGGTCGAGAAAGTTCAACGTTATTGGCAGGAGCGGAGCTTTGGTTGGGGTGGGCCATGGAACTTATTTTCTGCTTTGCTGGTTGGGGACAACCAAGGTTGCATTCCTCAGTAAGGATACAAAGCAGGTGCCTCAGGCGTCGAGTAACTCAGCTTCTCTAGTTCTGGCTGCTGCTGCCTGCTCTATACGTATCCACGAGAACCTCAGAATGGAGCTCCAAAAGGACAGACAGGACAGTAACCTGAGATCAAGTTTGCAACACAGGCTATGGCCAGTTTCCCTTCCGATGCCTGCTCTTCCTTCTTTCCCGAAGCTTCTGGGGGGAGCCCAGAGGGAGCAGAGGCTGCTGTGGCTCTTCCCCAAGCAGAGCTTACCCAGCGTTCACTGCTGCTCGGCGGACTGAGCTGCAGGGGCACCCGTGGCATCACCATCCTGGATGGAGCCAGAAAGCAGCTGTGCCTTAGTCTACCTGAGGGAGATGGGGAAAGTCTCACAGGGCAGGGAACCACATGGGGCCCGGCCAGAGGAAGACTGTCAGGGAGGCGAGATGGAGGGCTACAACGAGGGGTGGGATTGGCACGCATGGATGGGTCCTACGGAAGCAAGAGAGAGCCTAGATAAACCTGTTCTGTTCATCTTTACTCTGACTAGGTGTTGAAGACCTTTCCCAGCTCTGTTCCTGGGAATATGGTAGGATAGGCTATTTGCACCACCTCACGCATGGGGGCAGGGGAATGGTTAGCAGCAGTGACTTTTAAAAGGCAAAAAGTTTGAAATTTTGACTTTTTTTTATAGTTCATACTTTTTGTGTCGTGTAAGAAATCTGTACCAAATACAAAGATAATAAGATTTTGTCCCATTTTTTTTCTAGTTTTATATTTTTAGTTTTTACATTTAGGCCTATGATCCATCATGAATTAACCTGATAGATGGTATGAGAAGGGTGGGAGATTTTTAAATATATCCAATTGTTCCAAGACAATTTTTTGAAAAACATTATCCTTCCCACACTGAAGTCCCTTTCCACCTTTGTCAAAAACCAAGTGACTATACATATGTAGTTCTACTTCTGGACTCTACACAGTTCCAAGGATCTATTCCATGGATCTGTGTATCTATCTTTACACTGATACAATACTATCCTGATTACTGCAGCTTTGTAATAGTCTCGAAGTTATGCAGTGTAGCCCCCTCAAATTTGTTCTTATGGACATCTTAAGAACATTGAGTTTCCAATTCATGAACATTGTATTATACATATCCCTTTGAGGTCTTCATTAGTTTCTCTCAGCAATTTTTTTTTTTTTTTTTTTTTACTACACAGGTCTTTCACATCTTTTGTCAAATCTACTAAGATGTTGATAATTTTGGACATTATCCATTGCATTGTTTTTTAATTTCAGCTTCTGATTGTGCAAGGCAGGTGTAGAGAAACACAATCGGTTTTCATATATTAATCTTGTGCCTGCATCCATGCTAAACTCACTTATTAATCCTTTTGTAGACACTGTGAGATTTTCTACAAGTCATCTCTGAATATAATTTTAATCCTTTCTTTCTCGTACCTTTTTTCTTTACTGCCCTCTTGCACTGGCTAGAACCTCCAGTAAAATGTTCAGAAGTAATGACAGTGGGCATCCTTGCATTGGACCTGTTAGTAGGAGGAATACATCCATTCACCATGCTTGCTGAAGATTTTTTGGTAGAAGGGCTTTTTCAAACTGGGGAAATTCCCTTAAAATTCTTACTTGCTTAAAGCTTTTATCATGAATCAGTGTTAAACTGTCCAGCTCACTTTCTGTATCTATCAATTTAATCACATGATTTCCCCCCTGTATTAATATGAATTACATTGACTTTCAAATGTTAAACCTACTTTGCAATGCTGGGATAAACCCTATTTGGTTAAGATGTATTATGCTCTTTATATGAGTCATTTGTTGGATTTCATTTGCTAAAACTCAAAGAACCTTGATGTTCATGGCAGGTAATCTTCTAGCTTTCCTTTTTTGCAACGTCTTTTGTCTGGTTTGGGGATCAGAGCAATGTTGGCCACATAGATGGAGCAGGAAAATATTTTTTCCTCTGATTTCTTGGGAGAGGTTGTGTAGAATTGGTGTTATTTCTTCCTTGAACATTTACCGCTAAAATGATCGAAGCCTAGAGGGTTCTTTGTGAAATTTTATTTATTTTTAAAATTTATTTATTTTTGTCTGCATTGGGTCTTTGTTGCTGTGCGCGGGCTTTCTCTAGTTGTGGCGAGCGGGGTCTACTCTTCGTTGCGGTGCGAGGGCTCCTCATTGTGGTGGCATCTCTTGTTGCAGAGCACGGGCTCTAGGCGCACGGGCTTCAGTAGTTGTGGTGCGCGGGCTCAGTAGTTGCGGCACATGGGCTCAGTAGTCGTGGCGCACAGGCTTAGTTGCTCCGCGGCATGTGGGATCTTCCCGGACTGGGGATCGAACCCATGTCCCCTGAGTTGGCAGGTGGATTCTTAACCACTGTACCACCAGGGAAGACCCTTTTTGTGAGATTTTAAACTACAAATTAAACTTCTGTCATACACAGGGCTGTTTAAATTTTATATTTTTTCTTGAGTGCACTGAGATAATTTTTATCTTCCAAGGAATTTGTGTCCATGTCATTTAAATTGTCAAATTACCATAAGTTGTTCATAATATTCTCTTTTAGTTTTAGTATCTGTAGAATCTGTGGTGGTGTTTCCTCTCATTCCTGACATAGGTCATTTGTTTACTCTTTTTCTCCTTATCAGCCTCAACAGAGGTTTACATTTTTTTTTTTTTTTTGAGCTTCTTAAAGAACCAGCTTTGGGTTTAATAAAATTTTCTCTATCATTTTTCTCTTTCCAATGTCACTGACTTCTGCTCTACCTTTGTTATTTCCCTTATTCTGCTTATATTTTTGTTTGCTCTTCTTTTTCTAGTTTACTAAAGTGGAAGCTAGCGTCATTGATTTGACACTGTTTTTCTAACATAGGCATTTTAGTGCTATAAATTTCCCTCTAAGTACTGCTTTAGTTGCATCACAAGATACAAGGTCAATACATCAAAGTATAGAAACTGCATTTCTATACACTAGCAATGAACAAGTAGAAACCAAAATTAGAAGGACAATACCATTTATAACAGCTCCAAGAAAATAAATACTTAGCTTTAAATCTAACGAATCTTATACAGGATCTGCATGCTGAAACTGCAAAATGCTGATAAAAGAAACCAAAGATGTAAATAAATGAAGAGATATATCATGTTCATGGATTAGTAGACTCACTAGCATAAACATGTGAATTCTCCCCAAACTTATAATATATAGATTTAATGTAATTTCAATCAAAATCCCAGCAGTGTTTTTGTATAGATAAGCTGATTCTAAAATTTATACAGAAAGGCAAAATTGATAGAAAAGCCAAAATAATTTTGCAAAGAATAAAGATGGAGAAATCACACTACCAGATTTTTAAGACTTATAAAAGCTACAGTAATCTTGACCATGTGGTACTGGTAAAAGGACAGACCCATAGATCAACGAAAGAGAATACAAAGTCTGGAAATAGACCCATACAAATATGGCTGATTGACTCTTGACAAAGATACAAAAGAAATTCAGTGAAAAAGAATAGTCTTTTAAACAAATGGTTCTAGAACAACTGGACATCCATCTATATGCTCCCCAAAACAAAAAACATAAACCTCACATTAAAAAAAAATGAACTCAAAACATCATAAGCCTAAATGTAATATATAAATCTACAGACTATTTAGAAGAAAATATAGGAGAAAATCTTTTGAGAACTGGGGCTGGACAAAGATTTCTTAGACATGAAGCCAAAAAAGCACCATCCATAAAAAGGAAAAAAAGCTGATAAACTGGATTTCATCAAAATTAAAATTTTTGCTCTATGAAAAATACTGTTAAGTGAATGAAAAGACAAGTTGCAGACTAGGAGAAAATACTGCAAAGCACGTATCTGACATCACATTTGTACCCATAATACGTAGAGATTCTAAACACAACAGTAAGAAAACTAACAACTCAATTTAAAAATGAACAAATGAGGGACGTCCCTGGTGGCCCAGTGGTTAAGACTCTGTGCTTCCACTGCAGGGGTGCATGGGTTTGATACCTGGTCCCCTGGTTGAGGAACTAAAATCTCACATGCCATGTGGCATGGCAAAAAAAAAAACAAAAAAAACCCACAAGGCACATGAAGAAAGAAATCGTGGCCCAGTAAAAAAGGAACCAAAAAACAAAAAGAACAAATGAGTTGAACACTTTGCCAAAGAAGATACACAGATGGCAAGTAAGCACGTGAGCTGATGTTCACCATCACCAGCTATTATGGAAATGCAAATTAAAACCACAATGAGAATTCACTACGCGTCTATTAGAATGGCTAAAATAAGAAGCACTGACAATATCAAGTACTAGTGAAGATGCAGTGCAACCTGTAACTACCTTTTTGCTGAATAACAATTTTTTTCTCAAACACACTATGTAAATATGCTTTTATAAGAGGTAATATTTTGACATTGTGGTTTCAGGCAAAGACACATTCACCAGTTGACTCAACACAACAGTTTCTCATCAGAGAACATATGGAACAAATTTAAATTCGCACCGTATTTGAATGAACTGTAAAGTGTTTTTCTTTGCGTGGTGGAATCTTCTAGATTTCATTCTGTTGTGTGCATTCACTCTTTACTCATTTTAAAAAGCTCTCTTATATTCAGCCTTGATTTTGTCCTAAAGCAGGGTCAGCAAACATCTTCTGTAAAGGTTCATAGTAAATATTCTCAGCTTTGCGATCCATAAGGCCTCTGTTGTAACTACTTAACTCTGCCCTCAGCGGAGTAGCCGGAGACAACAGGCATTCATTTCTACTGGGCGGGTTCCAATGAAACTTTACAAAAATGGACTGCAACTTGATTTGGCCCATAGGCCCCAATTCACCAACCCCCATTCCAGGGGCTGGAGTAGGAGATGATGAAGCTGTGGCACGTTTAGAACATGGTTGGCAGCGATGGGGCAGGGCCAGCTTCCAGGGACACTAAGCATTGAATTAGCAGCTGCCTGGATTTGCTGGAGAAACATCTCAACTACTTGCACGTACTGGTCCCGAGGGAGTTTCAAGAGACGGCCCCTTCCTAACCCAGATCTCCTGCTTCAGCAGCACGTCCACGTTCTCAAGTCCTTTCACCATCCGTGCAGCAAGGGTGGGTGGAGCCTGAGGCGTGGAGGGGCTGAGGGCCTCTCTTAAGCGGCAGAGCTGTGTCAAGAGCCCAGTTCCCCTGACCTCAACTCCAGGTCTTACCTACTGAATGAGCCCCCCTCTACAGGCAGGGCGCTCCCCAGAAAAACGGGAAGTAGCGTCACCTGCCCCAACATGAAAGTAACTGAAGTGTTTCTCAGGGTTGTCCAGGGTGGTATCAGAATCACCCACTCCGTCGGCATCTCTGGGGGTGGGACCCAGGTGGCCTTGACACACATCCCAGGAGAAAAAGCAGGTCCTATTCCTCCAGCCCATCCAGCGGCCCGAGACGGGGCCAGGGTCCGGGGCTTTCTGCAGAGGAGCGCAGTCTTCATGATACTCACAGCAGGCATGAAGGAACAGACTTTATTAATCTAGCTCTCAAACACTAGAGGCTAAAATTCAGTTGAACTCTAACAATCTATTTACAGAGTGCTGTCAGCAGACCAGGCAAGGCTGGCCCTGGGTCTTCCCCGAACACCCAACAAGCTTGGCCTCCCAACAGGCCCGAGCCGCCTTCCCCCGTAGCCCACAGAGGACGTCTATATACACTTGACCGAACCCTCAGCGACAGGATACGAGGCAGGACGGCACCAGACCAACAGAGACACAGACATACAGACACAGATGAAGGCTGAGGCTGCCCAGCAGGCCCGAGGGCCTGGCTCAGTGCTTCTTCAGGCTGTAGGCCAGGCTGCCAGGGACCCTGGGGCCCTGCAGGGGCGGCGAGTTCCACACGGCAGAGCTGGTGCGCTTATGGTAGCGGGGCTTGCTCTTCTTGAAGATGTCCTCCAAGTCCAGTGGCAGAATGGTTCCGAAGAGTTCCAGAAGGTTCGGGGGGTGGTAGTACTGGTGGATGATGGCCTGGCTAAGCTGGGTGCCTGCAGGAGGACACCAAGGGCTGGGTCACTACCCTGGGGCTCCCCCTGCCCCCCACAAAGAGCCCTCGGCGCCCTCTCCACCTCAGCATTCCTTCACCTCCTGTCAAATCAGCTCCTCTCAGGGCCCTCGTCCAGCCGCCCCCCCCCAACCAAACACGGATAACCTCTCACTGCGCGCTCCTACAGCTGCTCTCCAGCGACTCACGTGAGCCAGGCGCTAGGCTGAGGTCACTGCATGACCCCCCTCATCCCCACAGCCACCTCGGAGGCAGGCCCTCTACCCGCCCCGGTTTACAAGGGTGAGATCTGCCCAGAGGCACACAGCTAGAGACTGGCAGAGCCGGGATTTGAAGACAAGTCCAGCTCCAGAACCAGAGCATCTGATGCCATCCTCGACTGCCTTGGTTGGCTACTCATCTCATCAGCACCACAGCCCCACGATGCCTGGTGCAGGCTGACACTGCCGGTGGCTCAGAGCCCGGCCAGCGAGGCTGAGGAGGACCCCGGGGGCGTCGGGAAGCAGAATGTGTGCCCAGCACTTGCCCTGCACCAGGCCTTCCTACGCTAACTCACTTCATCCTCGATAGCCCTTCTCAGCTGGGTGCTCTAAGCACCCCCATTCCACAGATGGGAAAACTGAGTGAGAGTTTAAGTAGGCTGGTAAAGGTCAAGGGCTCCCCGGCCACGCTGACCCCTGCCCGCTGCCACCTCTAGAATGACTGGACGTTAAGGAGATGAAGTCGGATTCTAGTCACTGTGGGGTTCTGTACACTGTACAGAACTGTACAGAACACTGTACTGTACAGCGCCGATCCCCTCCAGGGTTCTGGCCCTTCCTCCGGGGAGTGAGACTGCAGCCCGCCCCGCCCCCAGCTCGCCAACTCCGTAAGGCAGCCGCTGCATGCACTGGCCCTGCTCACTCCCCGCAGGCCTTGCACCCAGGCCTGAGGGGGCACCTTCACACTTACCCACACTCCTGTTTAGAGGCCTGTAAGCTCAGCGTCCCATCCTGCTGGGCCTCGAGTACCCCCATCCCCGTCTCCAACTCCTCCCCCAGCTGGCTGGAACCCCTTGCTGCAGCTCTGTGCGCTGCTGAAACCCCACTACTCTTAGCTCTATTCCCACCCCCAGGCAGCATATTTGGGTCCCTGTGGCCTGCTGGGTGGGACCCCAAAGGGGCAGCCAGATAGAGTCTGAGGTGGAACACCCAGCACCACGCCCGCCAGCAGCCAGCTGAAATCTAATGCATCTGTTGAGAATGGAAGCGCCCAACGTCCAGGTCTGGTCCTCAGATGAGCCCGCTGGCCACAGGGCGCCCACCCTTCCCCAGGCGCATCCCAAGGCCCGATGCAGACTTGTCGGCCAACGACTCAAGCTGCCAGCCCATGGGTGCAACAGGCTCCTGACCCCCGCAGCCGCTGAGCCACCCCCTCCAGGGCTCGAAGTCACAAGGGGGGACCCGGCTCTCCTGGGGAGCTCCGGGCCCTGCACACCTCTGGCCCAGTTGGGGATGGGCTTCCGGGGATGGGCCTCGTCATCGGTGGAGTCATCGCTGTTCAGATCCATCCCGTAGTTATCCGGGTTGATCTTGGGGGGCGCCCTGTGTCCCTGTGGGGTCATTTGATACGAGGTACAAGCTGGAGACTGGAAAAGATGAACAAGGCCGTCAGCTGCCTGCCCTGCAGGCTGGTACCTCCCGCCACTGAGGAGCATGGGGCTCTGGCCACCTCCCCTCATTTCACGGGAAAAAAGAAGAAGGTTCAGGGGTCGCTTTTTAATTAAAAAAAAAAAAAAAAAATCACACCATATACATGACTCCATGTCTTCTTTTTTCATGTGAAAGTATGTTGTAAACATCCTTCTAGGTTAGTGTGTCAGTGTGTGTCCTGTGACCCGCAGCAGGGCAGTTCACTGGGAACCCCAGGATTTGTAATTTAACCATGTGGTTCAGCTAACTTCCAAGTTTTCAACATCTTAAACGGTGTTGCAATGAAAACCTTATATTACATTTTGTTTGTAACAGCATTAATAGCCTAAATGCTTGTCATTAGGGACTGGTTAAAGACCTTCTGGTACCACTAACTGGAACACAGCGGTCAAAAGTAAGAGATTTACAAGCGGTGAAACAGACAGACGTCTAGGATACATTAAATGAAAGGAAAAAAACGAGAAAAAATCAAACTGCTAAATGGTATGTGTTGTGGACTAAATGTATTCCCCCCCAATTCCCATGTTAAATCCTAACCCACGATGTGATGGTATTTGGAGGTGGGGCCTTCGGGAGGTACTCAGGTCATGAGGGCAGAGCCCTCATGAACAGGATTAGTTCCCTTAGAAAAGAGAGCTCCCTCTCCCCTTTGGCCATGTGAGGACACAGCGAGAAGACGGCCGTCTGTGAACCAGAGGAGGGCTCTCATCAGACACTGGATCTGCCAGCGCCTTGACCCTGGACTTCCCAGCGTGTCTGTCGTTTAAGCCACCCAGTCTAGGGTAATTTGTTGTAGCAGCACGAACAGACTACGACAGTATGGGTAGTCTGTGCCCATTTACAACTACGCATATGTGTGTGTGAGGTAAAGCGTGTGTATAAAATGTATTTACACGTAAAGTATAGAAAGATAGACACCAGACTTAGACTTTCCCTCTGGGGGTACCTTTCTTTTGCTTTATATTCTTTTATAAAGTTTAGTTTCTTTTCTTTTCTTTTTTCTTTTTTTTTTTTTTTTTTTTTACAACAAATTCTACTTTCAGAATAAAGAAGAAGATATATTTCAAATATAGTAAAAAAACAACTGGGCCAACTGTATGCTTCCACTTTCTTATGGTCCTAATGCATACAGCCTGTGCCTCCGGCTACCGAGAAGAGAATAATGAGAGCCAGGGGGTCCTCTCCACCCTGATGCCCGGGCCTCACCTGCACGTCCACGGTCACGTTCAGGCTTTTGCTGGCCGCCGCGGCCTCCCTGGCTTTCTTCTCCTGCTCCTCCTGCAGCCGCTGCTCAGCCAGGCGCTGCTGTTCTTCCTGGGACCCCGGCGGAGGGCAGGATGTCACAGACCGCGTGTGTGTTCTCCCCTCCCCCCCACCAACGCCTCGCAGCGAGGCAGGCAGGGCGGCTCCTGCACCAGGGCCCCTGGACCAGGCCTCCCAGCCCAAAGCTCAGGGCAGACCCCGTGGGAGCCACAGGCCCGGCTCCCCTTTACCTTTTTCTTCTTCTCCTCCAGCTCCCTCTGCAGCCGCTCCTTCTGTAGCCGCAGGGCCTTCTCCCTCTCCTGCAGCTCCCTGAGGACCGAGCAAGAGCCTGTCAGGGTGGGAAGCTGAGGCCCGGCCCCGTTCCACCCTTGCCAGGGAAGCCAGGACCCTGGCACATGCCGCAGAGGAGGGAATGGCAGGACGGGCATGCCAGCGAAGAGCCAGCAGCTGTGCTCGCACCCAAGGGGCTAGGAGCGCTCAGCTGAGGGTCCGGGAGCACTCAGCCCCGAGGCCCGCCAAACTGGGCCCCGCGCCTCCACACCACTCAGACCTCCGTGCCTCAGTCTTGCCTGCTGTGCAATGGGGAACAGAACACCTTTCCTCCAGAGCTGCCACGAGAACAAAATGAGGTCATCTGAGCTACCGCCACTCGTCCTGACCCACAGGCCAAAACCCGGCCCCAAGCCTGACACAAAGCAGGGAGGGGCCGTTCACGGCTCAGAGCCACCTGCACTTACTCGCTCATGACCCTGAACAAGTCACGGAACCTCTCTGGACCTGTGTCCCCCTCCGGGAAGTGGAGCAGCTGGTACCCACGCTGCAGGTGTCTTCAGGTGAGGATTAAACAAGGAAATGTGTGGAAAGCGTGTGGCTCGGTACCCGCCCAAGCTGCCAAACGTTATGACCGTCGCCACCCCCTGAAGCCCCTGGCGCTGCCCGACACACATCCAACTCTAAAGTCCCATCAGCTGCCGCCCCGTGTCCCCCCCGAGACTCCTGTCTCTGATTCTGCCCACAGGACCAGGGACCCCTTTGTGCCAAACAACACGATGGCCCTGACGCAGTCAGCCCTCTGGTTGTGACCCACCTCCTTCTCCACTGGGCCTGTAGCCACCCACAAAGACGGACACGGAAAAAAGTGCTGCCTGGTGTTTCCCAGTGGGTGGAAGCAGGAGAGAGGCCAGGCCTGGGCCTGGGCCCACCCGAGTCTACACGCACACGGGGGAGTCCGCATCTGCACACACGCATAGGATCCCACGTATCTCCTGGCCAGTGGTGACGGAGGCTTACCCTCCTCGGCATCCCCAGGACCCAGCATAACCTGGCACAGGGACTGGCCTTGGATAAACGCTTGTGGAACTAAACGTGGAATTCTCGCCTATCGCAGAGACCACTGCCTCTGCGAGGGCTCATCTGCCACGGTCCCCAGTTGCGGGGAGGCGGGACAGTCTGGAAATGTTGGTGGGGGGGCAGCCCGAGTCATCACCAGCCCCAGAGGAGCACGCGCGGTGGGCACGAGCCAGGGGTGCCGAAGGCCCTGCAATGAATCACAGCACGTGGTGGCCTGACTCTGCCACCAAAGGCCCTCAGTGGCTGCTGAGAAATGCTGGTCGTCCTGCGGCCCCACCGCCCCCTTATGTCAGCTGAGAAAAGAATGAACCAAAGGGCTCAGCTCATCTGGTTGGAAGCAGAACAGAGACACAATCCCGAGCGACCCTGCCCGTTACTCCTTGAATCTCCAGCAGCCAACACACCACGTCTGGAGCCAGGAAGAAAGCCTGTCCTTCTTTTCCAAACTCCCGAGTGAAGGCAGGAGCTGCGTCTGGGTGACGGCTACATCTGTGTGTCAGCCACACGCGCACAGGAGGACGGCTGATGTGACAGCGAGGCGCCACAGAGTCACCTGGGCGCCGGGCCTCCGCGACGCCTCACCTCTCGGCCTGCAGCCGCTCCAGCTCGCGCTGCTCCACCAGCCTCTTGGCCTCGGCTGCCTTCCGCAGCCGCTCCTGCTCTTCCTCCCTCCTCCTCTGCAGCAGCTCCTGGTGGCGCCTCTCCTCCTCCTCCTGTGACCAGAGAGCAAGGTCAGGGTTCGCAGGCCAGCCCGGGCTGGAGAGGCAAGAGCGGGTCTGGGAGGGAGGAAGGGGGGGTGGGGGGAGGAGCAGCTGGCCGGAAGGCCTGTCCTTCCCAGAAGCTCCTCTCGCATCAAGAACAGCAGGGGCCGACTTCCCTGGTGGCGCAGTGGTTGAGAATCCATCTGCCAATGCAGGGGACACGGGTTCGAGCCCTGGTCCGGGAAGATCCCACATGCGCGGAGCAACTAAAGCCTGTGCAGCACAACTACTGAGCCTGCGAGCCACAACTACTGAGCCCACACGCCACAACTACTGAGGCTGTGTGCCACAACTGCTGAAGCCCATGCACCTACACCCCGTGCTCCGCAACAAGAGAAGCCACCGCAATGAGAAGCCCGTGCACTGCAATGAAGAGTAGCCCCCGCTCGCCGCAACTAGAGAAAGCCCGCGTGCAGCAACGAAGACCCGACGCAGCCAAAAATTTAGAGAAATAAATATAAATAAATAAATTTAAAAAAATAACAGCAGGGGCTGAGCCCAGGGACACCCCATACGAGGCTCCACCCACAAGGACCACGGCAACCGGCCTGAGGCGCGTCTTGCGACAACTTCTTTTGCTGCAGCGGCAGATTTAGTAGTTAAGGGTACAGACTGGACGAAGCCAAACTCGTGAGCTGGGTGACACGAGGCGAGTCACAGAAGCCTTCTGGCCTCGGTTTTACCCTCATTGATAAAATGGGGACAACAGTCACGCCCACGCCTCCTAAGACTGCTGAGTTTATACACATGACGCACTTAGAACAGTGCCTGGCACAATGTAAATACTCCATAAATCTTAGCCATTAGTCTTATGACCCCCTAATGCCAGATCTGTGTTCCCTAGAGTCGTAAGACCGACAGTTCCCAGGAAGAGGTGGGCCCGTCATCTTAGAGGCAGAACGTTTAATCCTCGCAACAACCCTGTCGAGTAGATACCACTGCTACCTGAAGGAACCAAAGCACAGAGAGGTCAAATAACCCACCCAGGGTCACACAGCTAATAGATGGCAGAACTGAGATTGGAAGTCTGGCTCCAGAGTCCGCGCACTTAACCCTCAAACTGCTGCCTCTACAGAAAACACAGGGCGGGTCCCCGTCCCCGTCCCCACCTCCATGGCCTTCGTGAAACCTCCTTGTGAGCTCAAGGCAGCAAGACCCACCAAGATCAACCCGACGCAGGGGGTGAGCCCAGCGGCCCAGGGGCGCGGAGGCAGTGCCGGCCTCCTGCTGCGTGAGCCCGGCGTGCGTACCTGCTGTAGCCACCTGAGCCTCCGCGCCTCGTCCTCCTGCCTCCTGCGCGCCTCCACCTCCCCCATCTTCTTGGCCGCCGCCTTCTTCTTGGCCTTCTCCTCGGCCAGCCGCTCCTCCTTGGCCTGCGGAGCCCACCCACAGACGCCCATTGGAGCAGCCCGCCACTCAGCCGTACAGGGTGGGGCCCAGTACGCAGCAGGGCAGATACTCCATGTCCCTGGGGCCCCGGCTAGCTCCCCACAGCCCGGGGAAGGGGGCACCCGGGAGCCAGACCTGCCAGGAGCGCAGGGCTGTGCTCGGTCCCGGGCAGACCTTCCACCCTCCACGTGGCTCAGAACAGACCCCACGGACGGCCACGAGAGGGATATAGGGCATCAAACCCGTAACTTCCCGACGGGTCCAGTCCTAACCCTCGGGCCACCCAGTGTGATGGGCCTGGGACCCGCCAGGGCCCAGCCCGCGGAAGCTGCTACCCACAGCCCGAGGCCTGCACCTTCTCCGTCTTCTCGTCGATCTGAGCAAACTTCTGCTCGATCTGCTTCTTCTTCTCCTCCTTCATCTGCTCCACCCGTTCCCGGGCCTGCAGCACCTTACGGAGGCGCTCCTCACGCTTCCTGCGGGCACAGGGTGGTCACGGGGGCCCAGCAAGGCCGGGGGAGCCGGAGAGGGGGGCGGGCACTTACAGCTTCACCTCCTCCAGCCGGCGCCGCTTGTCCTCCTCCACCTTCTGCCTGCGGAGCTGCTCGGCCTCCTCCTTCCGCCGCAGGTTCTCCAGGCGCTGCCGCTCCTTCGCCTGGGGGGATGGCGGTGGGGGAGTGAGGGCAGCCCCGCGCTGGGCCAGGACGACCCCAAAGGCCTCCCAAGGGCCTGAGTCACGAGTGCCCTCACCTGAGCCCTGCCAAGGTGTGGGCAACACAAAAGTAAGGCTCAAGACTGGATGATTCAGATTGATCTGCTGAACCAACGAGTACTTTTCTCGTTTTTTTTTTTTTTTTTGCAGTACGCGGGCCTCTCACTGTTGTGGCCTCTCCCGTTGCGGACCACAGGCTCCGGACGCGCAGGCTCAGCGGCCATGGCTCACGGGCCCAGCCGCTCCGCGGCATGTGGGATCTTCCCGGACCGGGGCACGAACCCACGTTCCCTGCATCGGCAGGCGGACTCTCAACCACTGCGCCACCAGGGAAGCCCCCAACTAGTACTTTTAAAAAGTTGTTTTTGAAATTATTATATAGCCACATCACAAGAAGTTTGGAAAATAAAGGAAAAAAATGCCATCCCTAATCTACTTCACCAGCCTATAGTAACCTCTGTTAGCGGAGGTTATAACTATATAAAAAGTTATATTTGATAAAAGAGTTAAGAATGAGGGACTTCCCTGGTGGTGCAGTGGCTGAGAATCTGCCTGCCAATGCAGGGGACACGGGTTCAAGCCCTGGTCCGGGAAGATCCCACACGCCGCAGAGCGGCTGGGCCCGTTCGCCACAACTACGGAGCCTGCCCTCTAGAGCCCGCGAGCCACAACTACTGACCCCGCGTGCCTAAAGCCTGTGCTCTGCAACAAGAGGAGCCATCGCAATGAGAAGCCCACGCACCGTAAGGAAGAGTAGCCCCTGCTCGCCACAAGTAGAAAATGCCCGCATGCAACAACAAAGATCCAATGCAGCCAAAAGTAATAATAAGAAGAAAAAAAGAACCAGATTGGGAAGGGACAGAAAGGCAGCTTTGAAAGTTATGGTTAATGTTCTATTTAAGGGGATGGATGGGTACACATGTGTTAATTTTTTATTATTATGCTTTATAACTTTTACGAGTGTATACACACACACACACACACACAGTGTATCGACTCTTTCCTAACAGCTGAAAAAAAAAGAAAATACTGTCAAGTGCTAACAGAGGTTACTATATAGGCTGGTGACACTGATTAGGGATGGCATTTTTTCCCCTTCATTTTCCAAACTTCTTGTGATACGGCTACATACAAATTTCAAAAACAACTTTTTAAAAGTCCTAGTTGCTTCAGCAGATCCATGCTGGTACCCTCCTCCTCCACAGGCCCAGAAAGCCCCAGGGGCATGGCCATAGCAGTAGGCAACCAGCAGGACAGGTGGGGCCTCCAAGCCCTCCCTGGCCAAGGACGAGACTGGTGCTTTACCAGTAACGGTCAGGGGATAAGGGTAGAGGCTGGGACCTGGACTAGAGGCCCACCCCTCACCCCAGCCTGGCTCCCATTAGACACCACCTCTGGGCTAAGCCACCCATCGGCCTTACTGTCCATTTCTCCTTGGCCACTGACCTTGACTACAGATTTCCCACCTAGAAATCTGGCCCCGAGGTAATACCATCCTAAAGACGGAGAGAAGGGCTCCGGTTCTGGGTGAGATGGAGTAGACACTCCCATCTGTCTCTCCCACTACCTGTGGTGTATAACCTAACAGAATGCACGGAGCAGTTATTTGAGGCCTCTGCAAGGTAAACAGCCGCAGGCAGACTGGGGAAGGAGACCAAGCTTTGAAGCGTCACCGAACCAGCAATGAGCTGAATGCTTTTTTTTCCCTCCAGCACTAACTCAGTGAAGCCTGAGACCCCAAAGAGATCACCGAGGTGCTGACAGAACTCCGGGAAGAGCCCTCTGGTTCTGACTCAAAACGCTATGGTTTTTTCCCTCTTTTCTCCCTTCTCTCATGCTCTGGCCCACAAGCAATCCTGTGGCAACGGGGACAGCAGCAGTTACTGGAACCTGCAGAGTCAAAACTCAAGGAGGAGAACCTTCCATGCCACACTATGGAGCTGTGATCCCAAAATGCTGGGAAACACTGTTGCCTTTCTTTCTGTCTCCCAGCCGGAGGCCCTCCACGTGGTTAGGGGAGCACACAGCAGAGCAGAAGAACTAAGGCCCCAGCTTCCTGGCTGGGGGGCAGAAAGGGGGAGCCCCAGAGAAGAGGAAAGTACTGGATAGATTGAGAAAGTAATACCATAAGGTTTTTATGAACTCCCGGGCGCAGCACCAAACTGGAGATGTTTGGATTTGACCCGAACTATCACACCTGAAACTTTGAGAACTAAACTCACAGGTCACCTGCCAGATCCCAGACGGACCGCTGACTGGCACACCCACGACAGATCCAAAGAGCACGGTAAAGGCTTTGAAATCTGAATGGACGTTGGAACCACAGGCCACAGAAAGCAGGTTGGAACCACAGCCAGAACCAGTGGGTTACTGCCAAAGCAAACTATCAACAGTCTCCATAAGATTTAAACAAGACCCAGAGTCTCCTAACATCATATTCAAAATGTGCAGGTTGCAATCCAGAATTACTAAGCATACAAGGACCAGGAAAATCTCAACTCCCACGGGAAAAGGCAATCAACAGACACCAATGCCAAGAGGTCCGGTTGGAATTCTCTGACAAAAATGCCCCAACAAAAAATCACAGCACTCTTAAGACAACTGGAAAAACAGAAAATCTCAGCAACTAGAAGATCTAAAGAAGAAGCAAATGGCGATTTGGAACTAAAAATACAATAACTGAAAAAAAAAAATTCAGTGGACAGATCCAAGAGCAGAATGGAGAAAACATGAAGATAAATCAAAATTTAGCCAATCTAAACACAGAGAGAAAATATACGGAAGAAAAATTAACAGAGCCTGAGGGAACTGTGAGATGACAACAAAAGTTCTATGAGGACTTCCCTGGTGGCCTAGTGGTTAGGATTCTGGGCTTTCACTGCGGTGGCCTGGGTTTAATCCCTGGTTGGGGAAGATCCTGCAAGCCGTGTGGTGTGGAAAAAAAAAAAAAAAAGTCTATGAAATACTGAAAAAAAACCCAAAACCTTGAAGAAATAATGGCTGAAGATGTCCAGCTTTGCTGAAAGATATAAATCTACGGATTCAAGAAGGTCATCAAAACCCAAACAGGATATACCCAAGGAAACCCATGTCCAGCCACAAAAGAATCAAACTGCTAAAAACTTAATATTAAAACAAAGGAAAAAAAAATCTGAAAAGTAGGCACCAGAAGAAAAAAGACACATTATCTATCAGGGAGCAATTATTTGAATGACTGGGGATTTCTCATCAGAAAGTTTGGAGGCCAGACGGAAGGAGCACATTTTAAGATTGCTAAAAGGAAAGAACTGTTAATCCGGAACTCTACCTATATTCAGTGAAAATATCCTTCAGAAATGAAGGGAAATAAACTTTCTCAAATAAAGGAAAACTAAAGAATTTGTTGCCAGCAGACTTCTCAAAGAATTGCTAAAGGAAGTTTTTCAGACAGAAGAGAAATAATACCAGAAGGAAAGGTGAAGCTTCAAGAATGAAGAACAGAAATGACAAATATCTGGGTAAATATCAAGACTTCTTTTCCTCTTGAGTTTCTTTAAAATGTTTGACAGTTGAAAGCAGAAATTATTCTGCTGGAGTCATCGATGTATGGAGATGGAATATGTAAGACAAGGATCACACACAGTGGGAAGTCAAGGCATCTATAGGTGGTAAGGTTTCTACATTCCAATTCAACTGATAAGATCCTGATGCTTGGGCTTCCCTGGTGGCGCAGTGGTTGAGAGTCCGCCTGCCGATGCAGGGGACAAGGGTTCGTGCCCCGGTCCAGGAAGATCCCACATGCCGTGGAGCAGCTAGACCCGTGAGCCATGGCCGCTGAACCTGCGCGTCTGGAGCCTGTGCTCCGCAGTGGGAGAGGCCACAACAGTGAGAGGCCCGCATAATGCAAAAAAAAAAAAAGAAAAGATACTGATGCTAAAGTAATTGTGAAAGTTAAGTATGTAATGCCTCAAAACAACCATTAAAAACCCTAAAAATGATATAGTCCGAATCGCAAGAGACAAATTAAAATGGAATACTAAAAAACGTCAAGGGACCCCAAAAAAGGCAAGAAAGGGGAGACAGAAGAAAAAAACAAAGGTAACAGCCAATAATAATAAAACAGTAGATGTAAATTGAAACATACCACTAAATATATCAAATAAGACACTGTTAGATTTTAAAAAGAAACAAAACCACCACCCTGACTCAACTGTATGCTGTCTACAAGAAACTGAATTCAAGTGTAATGACTGAGTTCAGAAGCATTATGCTGAGTAAGCCAATCTCAAGAGGTCACCTGTCGTATGATTACACTCACGTGACATTCTCAAAAAGACAAAACTATAGTGATGAAGAACACGTGGTAGGGGTGGGGGAGGGAGTCTTGTGGGGTGATGGAACCGCTCTGCATCCCAACTGCTGTAGTGGTTACATAAACCTATGCTTTCACAAAGGATAGATTTCACCGTATGATAATTTTTAACATAAGTTTTACTGTAAAATGTTTTTTAATATAAAATTTTTTTTTTAAAGATGGAAAGAGAAATGGAGAGAGATGATCATGAGTCATAGAAGCCAAGCTGGGGTAGGAAGCCAGGCTGGAGGAGGATGCTGGCCTTTGGGAGGACCCCTCAGGGAGGGAGCAGGTGGCCTTGTGCTCTCCAACCACACGGACCCAGGGAAACCCAGCAAGAGGCCACACCGCCCGCTGGCCTATGAGGAAAGCACCTGGGAAACAAAGGCCACGTGGCACCCTGAGCGCTCGCCACCCTCTCGTCCTGCCCCCAGATTCCTACTCTCAGCAGGGCTCAGCAAAACAGGCTTTTGTCCTGAAGCTTGACTATTAGGATTTCCCAGCCCAGGTCAGAGAATTTATCCTGTTGCACTGTGAATTTTATAGAAGAAAACTAGAGTTTCTTAGGTCGTAGAATCCGTGCTTCCTCTCTGCCCCAACCTTGGAAGGTGGGCTGCTCCCCAGGGGCCACCATCAAGCCCAAAGCAGAGGGTGGGAGGGATCCAAAAGCTTGTGCAGCCCCTTCTGCCTCCAGGGGTCTCCAATGAGCAGCCTCTCTGCCACCCATCAAACAACCACTTCATGCCGATCCCCGTGCTGGGTGCTTGACACTCGCTACTGCTCCCTGCTTCATCCAATCTCCCTGAATGAACCTCTGTCTCCACACTCTGTAGCCAAGGAAATTTAGGCCCAAAGGTTAGGAAACCAGTCCGATGCCACAGCGACCTACCTAGGTAGGTCCCCTGGCCTCCTGAGGACTGTCCCACCCGCGCAGATGTCGCATGCAGGGACCTGGGCTCCCCAAAGCAGGAAAGGGCAGCTTCCTGAACCTCTTGGTCATTCCTGCAAGGCCCCGATCAGTCTGGGTGGGGCACAGGTAGTTCCTTGTAGGAGGAAAAAGTCCAAGGCTGGTTCACTGCTGTGGGCCCAGGTGCCTAGTAGGGCCCTGGCACAAAGACAGGTACGTAAGAACCACACAGCCTGCTTGCTGGCATGTTGGATGACACGCCATGGCCCTGTCCACCCAGATGGGACCAGCCTTCTTGCAGGATAGGCCAGTTCAGGACCTGCCTGTCCAGCTGCTGGGCAGCCTCTTGATCTGTCAAGCTCCACGGCAGTGCTCCTGGGGCCCTAAGACCCCTGGCTGGAGGCAGAAGCCCTCCAGGTAGGTGGCCTTCAAAGTGCCAGTGGACACTAAAGGACTCGGGGGATGCAAACTTGCAGCTGCTCGGGAGACCCTGGGAGCTGGGACTGTGGGCCGAGCAGGTCCCAGGCCCCCATGGCTCCTTGCACGCAGCCGGTGGTCCAGCTCAGCTCTGGGGCATCTGAGAAGAGAACAGCTTCTGTGGCCTTCTTTCTGGAGGATGGCACTGACAGTTCCACCGTTACCCAGCAGACCCAGATCTCCTTTCCCCACTGCCCTACCCCTCAAGGCAGCAGCTTAGGTCTGCGATCCTGTAAATCTCGGTGGCCTGGGGTCAGAGATGCCTTGTCTATTCTCTTTGCAGCCCCAGACCCTGAGGGCAAGCCCGGCACCGGCGAGGTGGGAGGGACGTGGCTGGGGGGGAACACTGCAAGATGTGGCCCTGGTGACCCATCGCAGGTCACACCCCCTCTGCTTCCTCCTGCCTGGGGACCACACCCCCTCTCATCCTCCTGGGCAGGCTCTGCAGAGGGAGGACGTCGGCTCCAGAACTGCAGGGCCGGCGGGCCAGCCAGCCAGCAACTCTAGCTCACCTCCCACCTCCTGGCCCCCTTAATGCTCCCACTGATGATGTTAGTGCCTCTACAAGTGCTGTCAGTTTTGCAGGGACAGGGCTACGGCGGGTAAGTGCTGGGTGGAGCTAGGTTACAGGACAGGGAAAGGTTTTACTTACGACAAAGCTGCACTGTGGAGGAGAGGAGACAAGGAAAAAGCCAAGAGTTAATGCCAGGTGGAGGGCATCCCGGAAAGCAGGCCGCCCTCCTGAAGACGCCAGTGAGTCTGCTTGGGGCCTGCGCCCTCTCCCAGCGCCACCACTCCTCTCACGTCACCCAGGCCTCATCCCCAAGTCAGCGTCCACGTGAGTCCCTCACCTTAACTACTCAGGCTGCCGGGAGGGAACAGGGGCGGTGCCTGGTGATGGATGGCCACGGCGGTGGCCAGCCAGGCCAATTCTGCCACTTCCCAGCCCCGGATCCCAGACCCGGGAGGTCACCCTGAGCCGGCCGAGCCTCTAGGCTGCAGTGCAGAGCCCAAGGAGTCAGGACAGTCCCCAGATGTCGAGGTAGCCCAGGGCCACAGAGGCTCAAGCTGGTTCTTGACCAGTGCCAGGTCACACCCACCTTGGCCCAGGCCCCCGCTGCTCCCAGCAGCCTGGGGACATGCTGCAGCCTTCAGCCAGGCCGCCCTCACCTTGGGGTCCACGCGCAGGGGAGTGTTGCGCTTCATGAAGGATTTCACGCTGCTGTGAGGGGTCGAGGTCGGGGTCATGAGCGTCTGGTTCCTCTGCACGGTGTGCAGGAAGGTCCGGAGGGGCCGCACCACCTGCAGAGGGACCAGGGTCAGAGCCCGTGGGCGGGGCAGGGGGCGGAGGGAGGGCAGACTCACACTCACCTTGCTGGCGGGACAGGGCGGGGAAGGGGTCTTGCTCCTGGGGGGCTGCAGCTCTTCATCCTCCAGCTGCTGTTCTTCATCCAGCTCACTCACGGCCTGCTTGTAGCTGCGCTTCCTCCTGCCAGCGTGCGGGCGCAGCAGTGTCACAGGGCCCGCCCTCGCGTCCCCCCCAGCGCCCCCTGTCATGCCCCAGAAAAGGTCCCCCTTGCGAATGGAACTGGGCCCAGCCCCCGGGACTCCAGATTGAAAGGCACTGCAGAGGTGGGGTCTCCCTGACCAACCCTCTGCCGCCCAGTCAGAGGAAGGGGAGTGACCAGTCCAAGGTCACAGGGCCAGGACACAGGAGGATGGGGGTCTGGGATCCCGTGGCCCACCCCCAGGTCAGGCTCCTCCCACAGCCTGAAGCCACCTCTGTTATTAAGTGAGAGCGCCAGTCCCCACCCCTGCTGAGAGGACACGGAGGTCCCTGACCACACGCCCACCCTTCCCGAGGGAGGACTCAAGGTTCGTGCCCCTCTGGGCCCCTCAAAATGGTCGCCTGCACACGCCTTCCCGCATGCGAACCTGACACTCTGAGGCGGCTCCTTGGGGCCATCTGCTTGGTCAGTCTTGGCCTCTGTGGAGAAAGCGGTTTCAGGGGGGCGATCGGGAGAGCATGGAGGGGTCAGGGGAACACGCCCACCGGCAGTGGCCGTGGCAGGGGCGAGGCTCTCTTCCCGGCAGACCCCAGGGTAGCCAGGAGCAGAAGCATCAGGCTTAGCACTGCCCAGCCGTGACCCCTCTGTGGACGCGCAGAGCTGGCACGCTGCCCGCAGCCCGCAGATCCCTCGCCCCCAGGCCTGGCCTCTGGGGCGAGAACAGCAGGACAGTCCCATCGAGGTGGCCCTAACCACATCTCACCCACCTCTAACACTGAGAGCCGGGGGCAGAAACCTACAGAAGCTGCAAGCTCTAACAGGCCCCTTGAGTGGCTTCGAAATTCCACCCCTCCCGGCCCTTTCAGCTGGGGCTGGCACGGGGGCGGGGCCTCCTGAGCAGGGTCAACATGTGGGGTGCGGGTCTGTACGTTTCAATTCGCCGCCAGGAGGAAACGCCGATCTCTCCCCCGGCTCTCCAACACTCTTTACTCCAAAGGGTCCCGGCAGCCCCTGGGGCCTATGGGGCTGGCATGGCCATTGTGCTAACCCCATCCAGCAGCTGGGGGAGCCGTGTGCAAGCTCTCATGGCTACGGTGCTCCTCCCACCAGGGAGATGCAGGCCAGGCCCCAGAGCCCACAGCTCTCACGCCCTTTAGCCAGGAGACCCACAGAGGAGAGAAGTGCGCCAGCGACAGAGACAGAACACGAGGCCAGGTGTTCACACCCCAGGACACAGTTCCTCCTGTCCCCCCTGGAGTGAGGCTCCAGGCCTTGACCTGGCACGTTCACAGTTAACGCCCCCATTCAGGTCCCACCCCCAGCTTCCTGCACCAACCAGCCATGGCCACCCAGTGGCACTCAGCAGTGGCTCCAGCCAAAAGGTGGGAGATGAAACGTGCAGACTCGAAGGAGATCGCTGCACCCTGGGTCTCACTTTCCCTCGGCCTATCAGCCCAGAAAACCGGGCTTGCCTCTCCTCCAAGAGAAAGTCAGGCCGAGGCTACCACGGTCTGCGTGGCCCTGACGGTCTGTAGGTCGGGAGACTCACCCGGCCGCCCTTCAGAGGGCGTTCCCTGGCCACCGGCTGCAGGCTGCGAGCCGGGCGTGCTAATGGCGATCTTGGTGGTACTGCGGAGCTGCAAGGCGCTGCCACTGTTCTTGGGGACCTAAGGGAAGAACCATGGCTTTAGGGGTCTGCACGTGGGACTCGCAGGCCCGCCCCTCCCTGGCCTGCCCATCTCACCTCCGGCTCAGCTGCCTCCTCTGGCTCAGCTTCCTTGCTGGGCTCCTCCGCCGTGGGGCTGGAAGCAGAGCAGGGGGGCACTGAGGGAGCCGCCCAGCCCAAGCCTCCCCGCAGAAGCCCCTCCCCTACGCCCTGGGGTAGCGACCTAGGAGGGACGGGAGGATGGGCAGCCGCAGCCGGAGCCAGTGGCCCCGTGGTTTAAGTCTGCGGCCTGGGCAGACGAGCAGTGCCGGCTTCTGAATTTGGCTTCGCTTGTATTCCACCAGGGCCTTGATTCGGGAGGTCGGCCCTTTCCCAGCTCCGTCTCGACCCTTTGGGCCTGAATGAGCCACGTCTCTTTTGAGGCCCGTTCTCCATTCACCGCCGGCAAAGTCACTGGTCTCCCCGTCCCAAGCACTGCCCCTCTGCTCCAGAGCAGGGAGGCGTGGTGGTGGTGGAATAGTTTTAGGGACGGCAGGACGTGGCCTCCAGGAAAAGGAGTGCTGGCTCAAAGCAGTGCTGGGGTGTAAGCCTGGAGCAGGAAGCACCCCACCAACCCCCATGCCACCCACCCCAGTCTGAACTGGCTCCTCACGGCTGCACTGGCTCATCCACAGGCCTCTGGATTTGACAAAGCAATGAAGCCCAGGCCCCAGGGTAAGGCTTGGAGGGGTCAAGGCGAGGCCAGGACTGACAAGCGATGTTGACAAGCAATTCGGGAAGACCTGACACCCGGGTGGCACTGCCTGGTAAGACTGGGGCAGGGGCAGGGGGCAGCGGGGGGCAGCCCAGGGGCAGTCCCTGTGATGAGGGAAGGCTCGAGCACAGGAAACGCCTCCACCTGTGGGGCTCACCTAGAAAGGGCCCCCCGTGTGCCCTGCCCAGCCCTGGGAAGGTCCCCAAGCCCTGGAACTGAACTCACCTCACTTTCTGAGGCACCTCGACATTCAGGAGCCTCTCCAGGTAACTGTGGCCTGACAGGAAAACAAAGGAACAAGAGATGCCCTCAGAATCAGCCAGGTGCCCCTCCAAGAGGTCCAGGGAACCAGGCTCTGACGGGGGCTCCACCACTTCTCATCTGCAGCCAGACCCTCTCCACCTGCCGATCCCTCTCGACCCCGCAGACCTCTCCCCCTTCCCTGGGTGCAGATCCCTGCCGTCAGCACTCCCTCAACTCCTAACACCGTCAACAGAGCTGCTGGCTTGATGTCTCCTGCTACCCCCTAGAGGGTAACATGCCCATCTGAGGGCGCGTCTTGGCTCCTTCACTGGGCTGGGAGTTTCCTAGGAAGAGGGACAATGGCCAGCTCCGAGCCTCCAACTCCCAGCCCAGGCCAGCACAAAGCAGCTTATTCATTCAACAAACATACGTCGAGGGTCTATACCATGCACAGGCCCTGGGGACCCAATGGAGAGCAAACCAGACTGGGCCACGACCTGGTCTAGATAATCATCAGATAATCCTGTAACCGACATGTGACATGTGACATGTGCCATGACAGAAACGAGCAGAGGACTTGAAAAGCCTATAATGGGAAGCCGAGCTGGTCTGGAGGCTGGGACGTAAAGGATAAGAAGGTAAGAAGGTCGCAAAGGAGGAAGGGGAGGGAGGAGGATGTCCTGGACAGTGTACTCTGGGGTTCTTGAAGTCGAGTGCCCAAGAGGACCCTTTTGGGGGACCCACGAGGTCCTAACTATTTCCACCATAACACCAAAATGTTATCTTCCCTTTTCATGGTGTTGAGATTTGCCCTGAGAGAGTGAAAGCAATGGAGGTAAAGTACGAAGCCTGGGTACCAAACTGCACCCCACACTCGGGACGGAAACGTCTGGTTTCACTTAAGAATGTCCTTGGTGAAGGAATGAAAACTATTAATTTTATTAAATCTAAACTTAAGTACATGTCTTTCTAATACACTATGTGATAAAGCAGGAAGTATGCAAAAATGCCCTTGGGCTGCCTAGCCAAGTCTCTGAAAAGCACGGGGGTCTGAGGTCTCAGCTGAACTGGCCCCTTTTTTAACAGAATGCTGTTTTTAAGTCAAAGAACAACTGACAAACTACGGCTAATCAAGCTTGGGTATTTGGCAGACATTTTCTTAAAAATGAACAAAGGGGGCTTCCCTGGTGGCGCAGTGGTTGAGAGTCCGCCTGCCGATGCAGGGGACGCGGGTTCATGCCCCGGTCCGGGAAGATCCCACATGCCGCGGAGCGGCTGGGCCCGTGAGCCACGGCCGCTGAGCCTGCGCGTCCGGAGCCTGTGCTCCGCGGCGGGAGAGGCCACAGCAGTGAGAGGCCCGCGTACCGCAAAAAAAAAAAAAAAGAACAAAGGGAGTCTGTCCCTTCAAATAAAACGAACAGTATTTGTTGCCAAGAATAAAAAACTGAGCCCACAAAAAAGCCAAAAATAGAATTTTGGACCTTGTATCCACCACCATGAACTTCATAGCTTCCCAATACCTAAAGATGTTTCTGATGAGACCAGAAAGCAAATGTGCTCCTTTAAAAAAATACATAATGAAGTGTGTTGACATCTGGAAGATGTGTGTAACGCCACATATTTGTGAGTACGCACACATTATCTGGAAAAAAAAAAGAATATGCACCATTATCTGAAAAGGCTTTTGAAGTACTCTGCCCTGTTCCAACTACGTATCTGTGTAAGGCCAGACTTTCTTCACATACTTGAACCCAAGCAACACAATGCAACAGAGTGAATGCAGAACCCAGCTGTCTTCTTTTAAGCCACACATGGATGGGATCTGCAAACTGCAGAATAACGCCAGTCTCCTCATCACATTTTTGTTTGGAAAACAGTTATTTTTTCTTTAAAAAAAAAAAACCAACAAAAATAAACACAACTAACCTTAACAGGTAATTGGCTTGTTACTTTTGTATTAAAGTATTAAATAATACTTTTAATATCAAAACAGTAAGTAGTATTAATATAAAAAATAAAATATTAATGAATATTAAGAATTTTTTAATCCTTCAAGTTAATTTCTAATACAGTAACTGTCAATAGATAGCGTCCTCATAATCAAAAGCTCTTTGGGGTCCCCAATAATTTTGAAGTCTGGAAGCAGGGGCTGAGGCCAAAAGTTGAGAGGTGCCAGTCTAGGCAGAAGGAACAGCATCTGCAAAGGCCATGAGGCAGGAAAGAGCAGGCTTTGCTGGGCACAGAAGAAGCCTGGCTCAGCTGGAGCATCTGGGCCACAGGTGCGTGGCCAGAGGTTTAAGGCTGAGGGAGCCGAGGCCGGAAGCAGGGACCTTCCTGGGGTGAGGCAGGCAGGCCTGGAGGTGTGGGAGGGCCAGCTCCCACCTGAGGGGTCTGTAGCCAAGAGACAGCTCACATCCCCTGCCTCCCATCCCAGCTCAGGGCTCGCTGATGAGCGGGCAGAAGGGTGAGAAGATGCCCATGTGACCGCACAACTATTCCACCAGCGCAAAGACTGCTCTGGAATGTTAAGTGCCACCTGCATGCCATTCAGGCTTCAGAACAGGTCTGGGGGCAGGGAGGAGGCCTGGAAGGGGGTCGAGGGGCACCACACTGGCTCCAGAGGCTCCCCTGAGGCCCCAGGCCTGTTATGGGCGTCACTGGCGGTCCTCTCTCCCCCGCTCACCTCCCTGCTCCCCTGCTGCAGGTACTTCCTTCCCCTCCCACAGTAACAAGTTACACTCAAATCCTGTTATCAAGGGCTGCTTCTGGGGTAACCCAAACTAAAATCCAACCTCTGAGTTGCCCACCCAGCCAAGCCCCAGGGCCTGGGTGTCAGGAAGGCCTCCAGGAAGCCCTCTCTCCCCTCCCTACTCCACACCCTTGAGCACCCCGGAGGGTCACCCAGGCCACACCTCCACTGAGCTTCAGGGACCCAGGCCGTCTGCAGTTTTATCATCCAGTTTTGTTTTGATTTAGATGGACTGAGCTGTACCATAGCCAAGCACTAAGATGGGTCCTCTACCCACATTCAAGGCAGGTGTTCTTACCATTTAACACATGGGGAAACTGAGGTTCGGAGAAGGGTGTGCACCAGGCCCCCCAGGCTCTGTGTGACTCCAAGGCTTAACCAATGTGTTTGACTGTCTTCCTTCCACCGGACTGGGTCAAAGGCGAATCAAATCAGAAGCCCACCCGTGTGCAGGGCAGGGGGCCGAGCACACGGACTGGCTTAAGAAGAGCTTCTGGATGTCTGACCAGAAGCATGGGGAGGGCCTCTAGGGTCTCTCCCCAAACCTCCCTCCAGAGTTCCAGGCTTGCCCGCCCCCTTGGGCCCCTGCCCAGGATCAGATTCACGCCTGAGGAAATCTCGAAGGCAGGGCAGAATCACTGGGGCCCTTCTGAGAATCCAAAAATGAACAGTGTGCCAGACCGCATGTCTGCACAGGCCCCCGACTGTGTGTCCTTGAGCCCCAGGCCCTGGAGTAAACCCTTCCCCAGGCGGGGAAGAAACCGGGCCCAGGGAGGTGTCCTCACCTGCCTGACAAGCCCGCCCTGTGGCTTTCCACCTGGCCTCCTCAGCAAGCGGCCACCATCCCAGAAGGGACGGAACATGTGGGGCTCTTCCCAATTTACAGACTCGGTAGCCTCCTTAAGCCTCAGTTTAAATGTACAGCTGGGGCCAGACCGAACAGTTATGTTAACAGGAGGTGGCCCACAAACATGGTGAATCTAAGCGAGCCTCCACAGGAAGGAAGGGGAACACGCGGGCCCTGGGGAAGAGGCCCGGGTTCAAGCTCAGCATGGCATTAACCACAGGGACACTGCGGCCAACGGCCCCGGACCTCAGTTTCCTCATTTGTAAAACAAGAGTGTGGGACCAGATCTGCCCTGTCCAACGTGGTAGCCACTAGGTACGTGCGGCAACTTAAATCTGAACTATGTAAAATGTAATAAAACTAAAAATTCAGTTCCTCGATCAAACGAGCCACATTCTGAGGGCTCAACAGCCATTCGTGGCTAGCTAGTGGCTACAGTATAGGACGGCACAGATCTGCAACACTTACGCCACTGCAGAAAGTTCTGTGGACAGCTCCTTGCTAAATGGTCCCCAGAGCCCCTCTGGCTGAGCCAGGCATGAAGGACCACCCTCCGCAGCCTTGCCCAGAGCTGAGCCCCAGACTCACAGATGATGCGGGCGGAGGCGGCCGGCTCTTTGGTGGCCTTCCTGGCAATCCTTCTGCTTGATCTTCGGACGGCGCTCTCCTCTTTGGAAACCAGGGAGTAATTCTGGGCCAGCGAGACCTGGGGACCCGGGGAGGACGGGGCGATCAGGCTGCGCCGCACTGACCTGCGGTCCACACGGGAGCCCGTGGGTGTGGAGAAGTTATCCGGCAGGATGGGAGCCAGCACCCGCTCCCGCCACGGGGAGGCCGGAGAGCTGGGCGAGTCCTGCGGGCCTGGGGAGGTCGCGGCAATCCTGAGCTTGGAGGCGGACCTTCCTGCTCCAACCCCTCGGCCCTTGAGGTCCTGGGGTGTAGTTATCAAGGAGCTCACGGTGACAGACTCCAGTCTCCCGGCCTCTGGCTTCTGGGGTGTAGAGTCCTCCTCCGAGGTCAAGGTGATCTGGGAGGCCAGAGCAGCGGCCGGAGCCGGGGTAGGGGGTGGAGCCTGGGCAGACTGGAGCTGGCTGAGGTGCTGCTCAGCGCTCCGGCGCTCGCTGATGCCAATCTCCACCATGGGTACCAGCTGGCACTGGGCCGGGCTCTCCTTGGGCTTCTCGGTCAGCACCGGGGGAGACTCAGGGGTGGGCGAAGGCGTGGCTGCCGTGGAGGATGCTGCCGCTGCGGCCGCAGCACGGGTCACCCGCCGCAGGACGGAGCCGTTCTCCCCCACCACTGTGGCCAGCTTCTCCACCTTGTCCTTGCTGCGGAGGCGCCGGAAGCTCTGATGGCTGCTCCGCGTCTTTCTACGGGACAACCTGCTGGAGGAGGTGGAGCAGAAGCTGAGATGACCCAGCAGGGCGGGGAGGCTCCCCAAAATTCCAGCTGCAGGCACCGGCCTCCCCAGGAGCCGCCAGCTCAAGTGGAGTCTGAAGCGGAGGGCTAGGAGGCAGAAGACCGGGGTTCTGGTCCAGGCTCTGCTGCCTCTAGCCGTGACACCCCGGCTGCCCCTCTCTGGGCCTCAGTCTCCCTATCTGTAAATTGGGATGATGCCTGTCCTCTCAGAAGCACTGGGAAGATTAAACTCCCCTAAACGTCCCAATGACCGGGGTCACACTGGGCCAAACACCTTGCTGGAGGCATTACTCATGCTGTCGCCTAAACCACCAGACAGCCCTGAGAGGCAGGGACCATTATCCTCACTTCAGACTCCAGAAACTTGAGGCTTAGAGACGTGGAAAATTAACCCAAGGACATACAGTTGCTAAGGGGCAGAGCTGGGGTGTGCCCCCAAGACCACCTGACCCCCAAGACCCAGCCTCTTTCCCCTGGTACTTTGCAGCCCATGGTCGTTACCAGGGTAGTTATAACCAGCACAGCAACAGGGGGTTAGGGAACAGCGCCCGGTCTACACCTCTGGTCACTCTCCCCCAAGCAGAAGGTCAGGTTCTCTTGCTTCTCCTACCTCTGGAAGGAGAGGCCCAGATCAAACACCATCCCCACCTCCAACACACACATGCTCTGGACTCCACGGCCTCGGGTCACGCTTCATTTCCCCTGGGCGGCTCCTCATGTCAGTTAATACCTGCGAATCAAGCTCTCCACGTGGGCCCCAAGACTCCGGCCCCTCCTACCTTCTCCGGACGGGGTCTCTGTTTTCATCCTGAACATAAGAAATCCGTCTCTTTTTCCGTCGGTTCTTCTGAGAAGGTGTTTTGGGCATCAGCTCGGGCTCCTTGCTGAATTCTCTGTTTGGTACAAAGAGGGTGATGTTCGAGGCTGCCTGGAAACCATGGGTCCCCCTTCCCCACCCAGCCCGACCCCTGCCCCCTTCCTGGCAGTTCCTGGTCAAGCTGGGGTGACCAGCACCAAGCGAGCTCTCCAAGGCTGCATGTGAGTCACCGCAGGCACTCAGGGCTCCGCCCGCCCCACCCCCCCGAGACATGGCAGGGGAGCAAGGTTGCCAGGCAGCCCCACCCTCTGAGGTGCAGCCCAGCACTTCTCCCCCTGCTTCCCTGAGCATCCTGCGCACTCAGCAGGGACCGCTGGCAGTCTGTCTGTTCTGCCTGTCAGGTGGGGAAGCGGCCCTCGCTGGGGCCTCAGGCAGCCCCGGGTCCATCCCTCCCGCACCTGGTGAACATGCGCTCGGCCTCCTCCTCGATCTCCTCCAGCCACACCATGTCCTTATTGTCCACGTTGCAGACAAACTCCATGAGCTTCTGGTCACAGAGCTCTAGCAGGTGAATGGGCCCTGGGGCTGTCGTCCCCATGATGGCTCTGTCTGGAGAAAGCAGAGATAAGAGGCATGAGGGCTGGAATCTTCACATTCTTCAATGCCGCCCCATTCCCACCCCACACAGCACGTTGTCCCCAGAAGCCCACAATGACCAGCCAATTGTGGTGTCAATGGACCTCCTTACAAATGGCCGTCTCTGGGGCTTAAAATGACAGGGCATGGCCAACTGCCTTCCTGGATCAGGAGAAACTGTGGTCCCACCAGGTAGGACCCCTTGACCTGCCCAAAGGCCTGCTCTTACCCTCCTAAGGGCTCCTCTCCTACTGTCGGAGGGTGAGTTACCCACGAGCTGACCCCAGGCATCAGGCCAGAGAACATCAAATCCAACTGCCTCTTCGGGAGGCCAGTGGCTGGAAGGGGTTCTGCGTCCCAAAGTAGTGGGTAAGAAAGCGGGGTCTACAGACAGGCTCTTCTCTAAGGGGCCCCTACAACCCTCTCCCTTGAGCTGAAATGTCCTTGAGACGCATGAGGGAGCACGAGGGGAGCGGATAAGCAATGTCTTGTTTTTAGGAAAACTTGTCTAGAAATATCAAGCAGTGGAAAATACAAAATTAGTTTTCTCTTAATTTCCTTTAAAAAAATTTTTTATTGAAGTATAGTTGATTTACCATGCTGTGTCAGTTTCAGGTGTATGGCAAAGTGATTCAGTTATACATATATATTTATTGTTTTTAAGATTCCTTTTTATTACAGGTTATTACAAGATATTGAGCACAGTTCCCTGTGCTATACAGTAGGTTATCTATTTTATATATAGCAGTGTGTGTATCTTAATCCCAAACTCCTAATTTATCCCTTCCCCCTCTTCCCCCTTGGTAACTATATTTGTTCTATGTCTTCACTTAATTTCTTAAAAAACTAGGAACTCAAAAAAGCAAACAAATAAACAAACAAAAACAAAAAAACAACCGGCAACTCAGATATTCTCCTCAAAACTCAGTTATAAAATCATCACCAAAGCCCCAGGCAAGGAAGAAGTGTTCTATTCTGGTCATAGCAGGGGCTCAATAAATATCCCGACTGGTAGAGTGAATGAAAGAACAAATGAATGGGTGACAGTCGTTAGCCACAATAACAGACTGCATGTCTCATGCCATGGCAGTAACCCACCACCCTGATCTACAACTTCAAAACCAAGAACCACGCATAGCTCAGCCTCCCACCTGAGATGGGAACTCCTGGAAGGAGGGGCTAAGTCACCCCTTCCAGAGCGTAATGCCAGGTCCTGTTGCAGCCTCACAGGACCTCCTGGGGGCTGATTTCCAGGGCACACGAGCCTTTGTTCCTTGAGCAAGCTCTGCCCTCCGTCTGGAACCTTATGTCTCCTATTTTGTGCAGCTCATTCCTCAGTACTTGGCTCTCAGCAACTCAGGGAGGACCTGACCACCAGCTACCATCCTATCCATCGATTTCAATTCTCCGCATGGTACTTGGGTGACTGTATCTGTTTGCTTGCTGCCTGTCTCTGACCACTAAGCGTTTGTTCCCTGAGGACAAGCCTTTGTCTGTCTTGCTCGCAGCTTTGAAAGCCCAGAGTATGGCACAGTGCCTGGCACAAAAGGGATACTTGTTAAATGAATTCATCCATCTATCAACTCTATACCTAGAAATAAACATTCTACAGGTACTCCCACCCCAACACATACACATGTACAGGGACACCAAATGAACTCATTCTACACAGGTTAGGGCATGCCTTACTCATCCAGAGGCCTACTCCTAGATGCCAAAGGCAGCGCTCATCGGGGCAGGGCCAATCGGGCAGGACTGCAGAGGCTTTCGGCAGAGACAGCTCTGCAGCCAGCCAGTCACCGACACAGCCTCTCGGCTGCCATCCTTCTGGATCCCCCCAGTCCCTCTGTCCCAGAGCTCAGTCAGCCCTGGCTAAGGGCAGGAACACAGTTTGAGGCTAGGAAAGAGAAAAATGTTAAAGGAAGACAAAACACTTTGTTGCTATGGAAATCAACAACTTGCTCTTTTTTTTTAAAGTATTTGTTCAAAATGGCAAAATGGGCGAAAGCTTCTTTCACAAAGTGCAAAAAGGTGTTTGGGCTTCTTCCATGAAGAAGTTTGTTTTCAGCAGCCTCAGCCTGGGTATTTAAAAAGGGTCATTGTCATTAGATCAGGGGTGACCCTGTGAAAGGAGGGATCAGTGTAAGGATGAGGGTCCTGGGAAAAGCAGCAAAAATCTCTTCAGCCCCTGCAAGAACCTGGGCACAAACCCAGAGCACCCTACATCCCACCAAGGGCAAAGGGTGCTTGTTCATTTTCGTCTCCCAATACTTCTCTCACATCATACACCAGACGAGGGCCCCACGGCCCTCCTTCACAATACCTGTTCTTTTGAGGGTGCAGGAAGTCGGGCACCTAACTGTGACCTCGCCTCAGCAAAGAAGGGTCACAACAGTTGCTTTCTTTAAAGAGTCCTACTCCGTGCTTGGACGGAGCATCATCTCATTTAATTCTCACCACAACCTCAAGGAGACCCTCGGGCAGATGAGCAAATTGAGGCACAGAGAAGTTAAGTCAAGGGCAAGGCCTGGATGTAAATTGTGCTCTTAACCACAAGCTTTGCCGCCTACTCCATTTCAACCTCGGGAAGGCAGGGGCCAAGTTCTGGCTCTGGGCGCCCCAGAGAAGGCCACTGTCAGTGAACGTGCTTGGGAAATGACAAGATCAGGGGTAGCAGTGGACTCCAGAAATGGTCACTTTAAAATGTTGCTCAGCCGATGGGGGAGGTGTTGAGCGAGAGTTAACTGTACAGAAATGCCATCTGGCATAATTCCGTCACACAACCCGGTCGGTGTGCGCTTCCTGCGCGTCCAAATCAACAAAGGGCCTCCTGGGCACAAAAGAAGGTGCTAGGCACCGGGAGGGGGAAGGGACGGGGTTATTCTCTAGGATGGAGGGTGGGGGTCATCTCTGGCCCCAGGACCAAGGCAGGTCACCTCGTCACTTGGAAGAGGTGATCCATCCACTGCCAGGCCGCAACGGGGGGTAGAGGGTCACGCCCCCGGTCCGGGGCTGGAGGAAGGGGTAACAAATCGCTAACTACCCCCCCACCCCCGCCGGCCGCCCGCGCGCACTCACTCGACTGCACCGCGTCTCCTAAGTGCTGCTCCGATCCAAGTCCGACGACCTTCCCAGCACAAATCTCAGCCCGCCCAAGTCCCACCGCTCCCGGCCTCCAAAGCTCGCGGCTGCAAGGAAGCAACGGGGCGGTGCAGCGCGGGCCAAACCTACGATTTTCAAAACTGAAGGCTCGACCAATCCCCGGCAAATTTGTCTGAGCGGCTGCAGAAACCTAAGCCAATCAAGTAAAAGGAAGCACCAGTCCGGCCATCTATTGGCTACTTGGATTGGCAATCTGCGGGACTAAGAGGCGTGGAAAGGAAGCTTTGAAACTTTAACCCGAACAGCTTCCGGGAACGGCGGCGCGCGGCCTAGAGAGTAAGTCGCCCGCGGTGGGGGTTGCGCGCGCAGGACCTCGCACGCCGGAACTACACGTCCCAGCGTGCACTGCGAGTGCCCTAGGGCACGTGGGAAGTGCGTGGGGCCTTAAGTCGTGGACCTGGAGGTTGTGCTCTTTCTGGGAGTCTTATGCTTTGCCATTGCCATTACTTCACCCAATTTGTCCTCTATACGAGACTCTGCCACTTTTGAGAAATAATACTTGCTATAGACTTGATAATGTTTCTTAATGATTTCAACTTAAAATTACAAACTGAAACAGCACTTACATGCAAAATTTATGATACAGTGAAATCATTTCGATGACAATTAACAATGTTTGAGTCACAGGTAAAGCCAAGTTGCTTATATGCTTCCCACGCTGTCAAATGTTAAAACAAGAATCCAGATCTCTGTTCCCACACAAATTTGCAGCAGGTATATTTTCCAAGCTCAAACTGCAGTTCCAGCATAGTTTTTCAGACTTTGATGCAAATGCAAAGGAAATTTCCATTATTTCAAAATCCATTTAACTGTGCGATCCAGGAGTTTCCACCTAATCTCCAGTTGGGAGTGATTAATCTGCAATGTGATGACCTGCTAAAAGACAAATATCAAGAGAAGAATATAACAGATTCTACAAATGTCTTCCTGCTGATGAATATGATTGATTGAAAGCATCTGCTCAGGGGCGGATATCAGCATCTGGCAGTACATATCTGTGTGAAAAGACATTTCAAAAAGGAAGTGGGTAAAAATCTCACTGTAGATCTGCATTAACAGATGAACATCGCAATCGAGTTTTAATGATAGGGAACACTAACTGAGCCACAATTAAGAAAATATTATCCTCCACGCCTCACCCTTATCCCCAAAATAGAATTCTATTGTTATTAGTAGGCATATACCTTTAAAAATTATATTCAATTATTATTACTATATTTTGAATTACATCAATTTTTAAAACTGTAGATATTTTTTTCCTCTCTTGTTAGGTGAGTACCTACGTAATATCCGAGATTTTGCCTCTTGGCCCACAAAAGCTGAAAGTATTTACTGTCTAGACTTTATAGAAGTTTGCTTATCCCTACGCAAGGACAACATTTCTGGAACTAAACACGGGTACCCCCTTAGGAACGTGCAACTCAGTCCAGGGGACACGTGACCGCAGCTCCTAGCCACGTAATGATACTTTGCCCACCGGGCAGCTGCCAACGAGGTGCTGCTGGACTGGAGTTAAAGCCCAGCGGGGCAGACAGCGCACGCGCAGCCGAGTCTCCCACAGGCACGTCAGCGCAGGCGCAGGTGGTGAGAAGCCGCTGATTGGGAGCCTGACTGCTGAGGTGCCAAGAGCACGTTCCAGGCACTCTAGTTTCCAGGCGGTTTAGCTTCCAGGCTGTTTGTGCCGGAGGATCTGGCGACCAGCGAAGGACGGGCTACCCTTGATGGGTCTTCATGCTGCCGGTGGTGGATGGACCTGGGGTCAGGCCCTGGCTCCTTGGACACCTCAGATTATTCTGAATGAGGGTTTCTTTTTCTTTTCTCTCCCTCCCAACCTCCCTCCCTTCCTCCCTTCCTTCTTTCCAACATTTTAATTATGAAATATAGCACACATCTAGAAAAAGGCACAAAACTGAGACATACAGCTTATTAGTCAAAATCATTCCTTAAAAACCACCTCCCACGTCAAGAAATAGAGCTTGGCCAGCTTCCCAGAAACCCCCCTGCTCTCTCCCCCAAAGTAAAACCTTTAAAAAAGTATGGTAATCATTGTATTGTATTGCTTGTACAGTAGTCTCCCCTTATCCATGGTTTCACTTTCCGTGTTTCAATTACTGGGGTCAAATGCAGTCTAAAAATATTACATGGAAAATTCCAGAAGTAAATAATTCATAAGTTTTAAATTGTGCTGTGTTCAGAGTGGGGTGTTGAAATCTCACACCACCTGCTCTATCCAGCTGGTGACAAGAATCAACCCTTGTCCTGTGTATCCCACCCATTAGTCACTTACTGTCTTGGTTAGAGGATCAACTGTCGAGGTATCGCAGTGCTTGGTTCAAGTGACCCTTATTTTACTTAATAATGGCCCCAAAGAGTAGTGATGCGAGCAATTCGGATATGACAAAGAGAAGCCACAAAGTGCTTCCTTTAAGTGAAAGGTGAAAGTTCTCAATTTAATAAGGAAAAAAAATCGTATACTAAGATTACTAAGATCTATGGTAAGAATGAATCTTCTATCTGTGAAGTTGTGAAGAAGGAAAAAGGAACTCGTGCTAGTTTTGCTGTCACACCTCAAAGTGCAAATGTTACAGCCACAGTGCCCAATAACTGCTTAGTTAGGTTGGAAAAAGCATTAAATTTGTACAATAAGATATTTTGAGAGACCACATTCACATAGCTTTTATTACAGTATATTGTTATAGTTGTTCTATTTTATTATTGTCAGTCTCTTACGGTGCCTAATTTATAAATTAAACTTTATCATAGGTATGTATGTATAGGAAAAAACTTGGTATATATAGAGTTTGGTACTGTCTGAGGTTTTAGGCATCCACTGGGGATCTTGGAAGGTATCCCCCATGGATAAGGGGGACTACCGTACAGATTTACCACCCAAAAACATGCATCTCTCAACATTATAGTTTTGTTTGTGTTTAAAAAAAATAATAAAGTGTTACACAGTTTGCTCTTGTGTCTGGCATCTTTTGCTCAATATTATGTGAGATTCATCCATGCTGTTGTTCGTGGCTCTAGTTCCTTCATTCTTATTGCTGCTGTATAAAAGTACAATTTATGAGTATTTTGCAATTTTGATTCATTCTACTGATGATGGATATTTGGGATACGGATTTTCCCCCCAAATTTCTGCTATTATGAATAGCGGTGCTATACATCTTTTAACACTCTCAACAGCTCTTGGGGAAAAAAATAGCATTATCCCTTTTTAGGGTTGAGGAAAACCATCTCAGAAAGGTTAAGTCATTTCCTCAAGACTATGACACTAGTGAGTGGGGGAGTCAGATTTTAACTGCAGACTCTGCCTCCTGAGAAGCTTCCAGAATCTTTCTGTGTAGAAGTTACTAAAGGAGTGTGGAAGTTAGCAGCACCTCTCAGGGAGGACCTCTGATCAGCTACCAATGCCAGGGGCTAGCCCTCTTTGTTCTTTTGTTTTAACCAACTTTATTGAGGTATAATTATATATGACTATATTTTATTTTTTAATTTTATTATTTATTGAGGTATAGTTGATTTACAATGTTGTGTTAGTTTCTGGTGTACAGCAAAGTGATTCAGTTATACATATACATTCTTTTTTGTACTCTTTTCCATTATTGTTTATTACAGGATACTGAATATAGTTCCCTGTGCTATACAGTAGGACCTTGTTTATATGACTATATTTTAAATGTCCAGCTCAGTGAGTTTGGGCAAATGTAGGCACCTGTGATCAAAATAAGCACACTTCCAGCCCCTCAGAAATGTCCCCCCTGCCGCTTTGTACTGCAGAATGGGCTTTGTGTCTCACTCCTTCCATTCAGCTTTATGTTTTGGGGAATCCCCCATATTGTGGGTCTCAGTATTTGGTTCCCTTTTTATTGCTGAATAATATTAAGTTGTGTAAATATACCACAACGTGTCTATTCATTCATCATTTTGGCTGTTTCCAGTGTGGGGCTATTATGAAGAAAGCTGCTATGAACATTCATAGAGAACTCTTTGTGGATTTACGTTTACGTTTGTCTTGTGTAAATATGCAGGAGTCGAATTGCTGAGGCGTATAGCTAACGTATGTGTAACTTTATAAGATACAGTTTTCCAAAGTTGTTGCGCCCTTTCACACAAGCAGTCGATGCATATTCCACTTGCTCCCCATCTTCCCTACTTCGTAGAAGACCCCACAGTTTTCTGACCCTGCACTGAAATTCCAGTCGCTCCAGCTGCCCCTAGGTCTGATACCTGCCTGTTCAGCTCAGCGGGGCTCCAGCTGGCTGCACCCCAAGGAGACAGAGGCTGAGTGGTCCTGGGGCTCAACCCCAGGTGTGCCCCTTCTCTCCAGGACTACAGTCTGCCTTCTCCTGTGGTCTAACACCTAAAAAGAGTTGCTTATATTTTTGACTCCAGCTTTACTGCTGTTTACCATAGCAGGGCTTATTCTGTACTAGTTCCTCCGTCATAGCTGGACGCCGAAGTCCTCCATGCTGTGTTTTTTTTCGGGGGGGGGGGCTATATATTAAAGTCTCAAAGAATCAGTCTTTTTTGTTGTTGCTCTCTGATCCTGCTGGCTGAGAAACTCATTTATATGAAATAAGAAATGTGCAGACCAAAACTTATTGAAAGAGTACCTCTCAATCAACGTGCAGTGAAGAATAAATATCACCAAACAAAATCCTTGTGTAAGTGTTATCTGTGCAGTCTCCCTCCTAGCAGGGCACTGAGTGAAATCACAATCAGAAGCTCTTTTACTGAGGATTTAGTATGAGGAATCGGGGTCTTGGGTAGCCAGTTTTAGTCTGGAGGTTAATCGAGTGCGTTCTCTCTCTAAGGTACAGCAGAAGCCACGTTGTAACCCGAAGGTTGTCCTGCTAATGCAATCAGCACGGGAAATTAGACGAATGGTTAATGGCAGCCAGCTATGGCAGCCTGAGGCATCCAGCTTATAACAGGGAGAGCCTTGCTGGCGGGTTCAGAAATACAGAAGGTCCGCCATACTCCCTGAATACATACCTCAATTAAATAGAGTTGGGAGAC